ACTCCGTATGGATCGGTGGTTCCATTTTGGCTTCTCTATCCACCTTCCAGCAGATGTGGATTTCCAAACAGGAGTACGACGAATCTGGCCCTGGCATTGTCCATCGCAAATGCTTCTAAACGCATCATTACACGATTGATGCAACAGCGTAATTTTCAAAAAAGCATGTTTATATCTCGGGGAGGACACACGAATAGCATGCAGTTCTGGCCCGAGCAATCAAGCTGCTATGAGAAAATATCAGAGCATTATTGTCTCTCGGTCCTCATCAGATCTCATGGAATCATTGTCATGGCTTCGTTCACCGTTTTTGCACAGATAACGGCGACCTGGTTAATCGTCCTCAACGCCGCAACCTTTTGTAAAACTGCGCTCGACACTATCATTGCTCACTTAATGTCATCATCATGGTCGAGGTAGTGGTTGGCGAGAATGGCTCTCGTCTCAGGACTTTCCTTACAGTAGCCTTGGACGTTATCAAGCATTGGAAAAGATCTTCGCATATATAAATGTAGATGGATGCCAAGTGCATTTTTCGATCCATGAATGAAACCGTCTGGGCAGACATAAGAACAGGCAGGAACCTCGAAATTACCCTTGGCAACGAGCTTCGAGACTACTTCGGGAAAGCTGCGCTTTTTTCACTGTCACGCGAGCGTTTCTCACCACCGTTCGGGAAATCGACCCTCTCTTAATACGTACTACATATTGATTACGTCTAGTCTGCTAATTGAAGCAACTAAGTATCTATCGATGTACTTCTATATTTTAATTTATTTTGTAAATATTATACATTATGTTATTATATATTGTTATACGATGTCAAAGTGAACTCAAATACACATTATATCATATAATATCACTATTGTTTTTACTGCATGAACTTTTTCATCATCTCCCGTAAACTTTAGCTTTATTTCTGCGGTTCTTCTTAGTGCTACATTGTTTTACTTCTCACTAAATAATATCTGAAACTTCCTCTTCAAGTTTTATCTACCTGTGAAATATATTATTATATAATAACGTAAGTTCTTAACTCTTTATTTGAGATCTTATTCTCAAACATTTGATCGAAAATAAGAAAATGCATGATAAAAATATATATAAATAAACTCTTCTAAATATACCAAGAGTACGTGAAGTCTTCAGCTTTTTATCCTTCTTATTTTTTTAGTAAATTAAACATTAAGAGAAAAGAGAAATTTGCTTAGGCATTTCACAAACAGTCTCAAGTATTATTTAACAATCGCCGTAGTAAATAAATTTGCATTCTAACGTTATGCTAACGTGTTTTCGCATCGTTCTCGCAACCAAATTTGTCTTCAATCGCGGCGAAGTAGTAGCTTGCGTTATTTAAAAATAACTGTTATCGTTACGTGTATACGTATTACAGTCGCGATGAGTAACCTTGGCGGTTTATTCATCCGCTTAATGAGTCGTTATAGCTGATAGATTAGAAGCAGTTTTATCTACTAATATATAAAGTAAATGCTTAATTGATTTTGAATGACGAGAGAGTATTCGTGTTTTTAATAGAAATCATTAGCAAGATATATAAAGTGATATTATACTTTTTTAAATTGAAATGATCGGTCTCTCATACTTAGGTTCGATACCTGTTCCTGGTGAACATTTAAATAATGTATTTTATGTCGAAGCCTCTTCGAATTCCGATAATAACGAATGAATTTACTATAAATTATGATACAAAGATAGTAATAATAACGCTCTAGTAGGCGAAGGTCTGCATCTTAAAAGGATCTAACGCGTCTCTGGTGGAACTTCTGTGGTGGTGTGAAAATTCATCGTTTTAGCATTCTCAAAACTGTACACGTACGCACATCTGATGAGACTTAAGATTAAATAAGAAATTATCTGTTTAAATAAGAAATTATCTCTTTTAACTATAATATATCATATTGATTTCGCCATGTAAGATTTAAAATTTCTGGTGTTTTATTTTCAAGTGTTTCTTTGATTTTCAATGAAAAAAGTTATAAAATCGCCCTATTTTATCCACCGTCTTTTATTCTGAACTGTTGCGTTACGGCGATTCATTTTAGCGCAATTATTGGAAAATTTTTGCCAATTCATGTTGTCCTTATTTTCCAATGTTTTCACAATTGGCTTATTGGGCTTCCAGCTGATACGCTCGCTGATCTTGAGGAAGATGCAAATCATACGAATCTGCTTCCGACTACCAAAAGTTATTATCTCATATACTTTATTATTAGTTATTGTCTGTACAAGTTTCTCGTAGACATTTTTAAACGTTCTATTGATATTTAGGGACGAGAATGTTCGCGATAAAAGCTGAAGAAATTTATTTCGATCGCATCGCATAATCTCAAAATATTTCTGCTAACTTAACATCCATAGGAACATCCATTCTCACTTCTATCAGAGTTTTCTTGATTTTTTTGCTTTTTCTCGTTAATATCTGGTCAAGACATCTATTTTTATTTTAGAAAATGATAATTCTACAATGATTGAATCAATTACAGTTTTAAGCAAAAATAATTAAGATCGAGGAATATGAACTTTAAATAATAATTTGTCTATACAGAACTTTTATTTTATATTCGTCTATATAGAACTTTATTCAATGTCGATGTGGTTTACAAAAAGAGTGTTTTAAAAAAAAGATAAAAAAGATTGGCATATGCATTGCGTGTACATTGCGTGAACTTGACAAAGAATATTTTGTAGATTTTTTAATAAAATAAAGTAGTCTATCAAAATCAATATTTTGACATACATGATTTTATTCAAAGAAAAAGAAGATATAAAAGAGAAAGAAAGAGAAAAAAAGATGGACGATACGGGTACTACTTGATGTGAGATTGACTCTCACAAATGGCAGTTAATTTTAATGTATTTAACTGATATTTGTAAAATGACACATGTAGATTGTCGGAAAAATTAACTAGCTCGAATTAATTAATCGAAACGATCGGTACCTCGATGTAACGTTGGAACGCGTTGCGTGGTATTTCCAAAAGTAATGAAGCATATTCCTCGGTCCGCTTAGGGGCTGCGGCCGCCTAGTTCGGCGAGCGTCGCGACGCCTCGCGAGGCGATGCCTTTTTCGTGCCTGTCGGGCAAGCACCATCCCACGAAAATGCGGGGGCGTCCAAACGAGAGCATATAATTGACGTCGCGACGTCGTCGAGGCACAGACGCCGCTCCACCTCTGTCCCGTGCACGGTACGTAGACATAGTATCACGAATTTCCACTCCATTGCCGAGTTCTTTCCTTTCTCGGAGAATACAATCGTTTTCTGCTTGCTTTCGCGACCTTATCAAAAGACGTCCGCGTGTTATGGTGATTAGCAAACGAAAGTGATAAGCTGCTGTACCATTAGGATTATTCGAGATAACCAGCAATACAGAGTAACAGTTTCACTATTATTTTAACTTACGTTTAATCAAAAGGAGGGCACAACTTTTTTCGCGATCATTTCGGAATCGTTTTATTTATCCATTTTCTCATGTACTTTTCTCCATAAAACCCGAAAACTATCATAATAATGACGCTATTATACTCAAGGAAAACTGGTACACTTAAAAAAGAGTTAATGGAATCCTTATTCACATCGTTATGAAATTGCGATCAGTTATGTTTCAATCATTTAAAAACTAATTCAGATAGTTGGATCAATAATTCTGAATTAGTTTTTAAATAATTAAAGCGTATATAATACAATAGTGATTTCATAATTATGATGTGAGTAATTTTATTCTTTATTTCAATCTATCAATTTTTCCTTGAGTGTAGCATTATTATCATAATTTTCGGTTTTCGTGAAGAAAAATACACAAGAAAATGTGGAAATACAACAATTCTCAAATGATTGCGAAGAAGTGAAAGTTGTACTCTTTTTTTAAAGTTAAATTTGTTTGTTATTAAATTAAATTTAATTTGATTTAATAACAAACAAAAACCTACTTGGTTTTTAATTTGTTTTTAAAAACTACAAACACAACTTTCTCTTTGTCTAAAATAATATTTAATTTTAATAGTAATAGTAAAACGGATTAAGAGACGCCGTATCGTAACGTTAAATATATTTTTTAAGGATCAAATATATTTTTCAAGTATATTTTTCGTTTTTATATTTACTTGAAAGATCCAGTTTGTTAACAGAAACATTTAAATTAAAATTATTCATATATGTTTTATTACATTTTTATTGTTCTTTGTCTTTTATTATTTTTTTACTTTGATTCTTTAATCGATAAGTTAGATTTACATATAAATTAAATTTAAAAATATTTAAAAAATATTCGTAGAATTCCTATATATTTCATTAATTTTTATTTAATATGCTACTTGCCTCAAAAAAGTTCTTTGACCCATTATTGAATCCTCGGAAGAAGTTCAAGTTCTCAGCGTTCACTGCATCCATTGAAATTGATTCTTGGCGTATCGTCAAGCCGCTCGCATTCATTGCATCCATCATTTTTGTACATTTACGTTTCATAAAAATTATAGGCAGAAGACGAGTATCCTATTCGCAACAAATTAATATTAATCTTCGAGTATAGCATTCTAACAGTACGCTTAACGTATTAGTTTTAGAAATATTCATTGTCATATAATATCTAAAGATATAATAATATTCTAAGAAAATGTTAAAACTAGTTGTTCATTAAATTTTGCTAATATTCATATCTGCATTTTAATAATATTAAATGATATTAAAAAATAACTGTTAAGTCAATAAATTTTGTTGAGATAAATTATTTTAATGTAATTAACCTTAATAAATTATCCTTGCAAGATTTAATAAATAAGAAAATTTAAATACAAGCAAGATTAAATTTAGCTAATAAAGTGTTGATGAATAAAAAGAATTTTTTTTAAATGAGATAGAAACTTTAAAATTTAGGTTTGCACAACTTAATATCATTTCAAAGTATCGTGACAGAAATTCCTACACAATCTATAAACAAAAACCAAAATACGATCTAAATTTAAAAAATACAGAAATTATTTTACAAGAGTTAAAACATTTTAATATTGTTTAATCAGTTAAAATTATGAATCACGTATATTAACTTCTCGGATCGTTCGATGACCATAAAAGGACTCGTCTTCTGTGAATTGCATCCCTCAACTGTCTTCTCAGTTGATTCCTAAAATTATACTCATTTCTCTAAGGATCCTCTCTCAACATCGCTTAACTTTAAACATGGCTCGACCGGTTCTCTTAAGCTCTTTCTAGAATTACAGCTGATGAGGTATAAGTTGAGATTAGCGTTAACGTTAAACTAACATTACCAGTGTCGGTCATAAAAGCCGCGAATACATACGAACGTAGGACGAATGGCCGTCTTCGTGATTGGGCTCACAGTTGCATAGCCGAGGTCTTCGGCCGCGCGATCGCGTTTTGGTCCTTTTCCGCAGGCAGGCATAATTTTGGCACGCTCGGCGTTGCCTCGCAGCGGGACGTTATGTTTTATCCGTCGTCATCGTCGGCGGCGGTAGTGGTAGCATCAGCCACCATAATCGTCGCTTGAACTTATTAGGGAGCGTCCGTCGGCTGTACATCTAAAGTTAGCGACGCGCCGGGCAAAAATAGCGCCGCGACGCCGGGACCGCTTTGCCTACCGCTTTATAGGCAACTAGGTCAATTCTGGCTTCGCATAACGCTCACCGGGGACTAGCTTTATCGAAATTCGCCCGGCTATCATCAAATGTATGAACACTTTTTACAAATAATTTCTATCACTTCTCAATTTTGAATTCCAAACTTTGAAACAATCTGAATATTTTATTTGCATAAAAAATTATGCAAGTTTTCCCAGAAAAGTCTTAAAAAGAACTGCAATTAAAACTATAATTAGATATCAAGTTATTATTTTTAATGCTTAGGTATACTATTTTCTCTTACTATTAAATAATATAATAATTTAAAACTTTTATTCGTAAAAAATTGAATAATTATAGCAGAATTATTTAATTGATATTCTATTAATTACATGTGTATAATTTTGTTCAAGAGAAAATATTAAAGAAAAAAGGATATGATTTTACGAAAACTATTTTTAGTTTTTACCTTAATTCGTTTTTCTTAATATTTTGTTATTGTTTATTCAATGGAATAATGTGTGATACTAGTATAATACTTTAAATTATAGATAATTACAATTTATTTATAATTCATTATTAATTTCATAAAATTCTAATTATTATTCTATCAAATGAGAATATGTTAGCGATAAACACTGAATGTTTACAAAAAACGATAATATAACAATAATCCCTGCTAGCAAAACTATATTGATATAATGACGGCCAGTATAAGTGATTATTATTCAGAAGTGATATACAAATAATCATAGAGTAAGAGATTATAATTTGTGTTACAGAGCGTTAAAATCAAAGAAAAACAACAATGTGCGACGACGAAGTAGCTGCCCTGGTCGTAGACAATGGCTCCGGTATGTGCAAGGCCGGCTTCGCCGGAG